CTTATTCTCTTATTTTCTCCTCTTCTTGAATACAAAATCCGAATGATTGAGGTAGTGATCAGAATGCTGTGGCTGATCTGTATATACACAATACAGCAATTTGTCTGCAATGAGCTGAAGTTTGAGGAAAAATCAGGTTGGATGGAGGTCCTTTTCTAGGAAAAGTGCATTTAAAAAGCAGTAAATTGTCACTGCAGCAATTTCCAGTCAAAGTGCTGTTGTTCATCTGAGACCGTACAGGGTCAGAACAACCTGAGTCTGGATGCTAAACCACAGGCAGGTTGCTTACACCTGTAGACATCCTCACACATCTTTGTTTCTCTCCGTGCTGTTCAGAGTGTCCTTTTTTATGTCCAGGCTTTGAGTCCCAAAATGGTTCCTCTCCTCCAGTACAGTAAAAGTAAAGTAAAAACACAGTTTTTAAATGATTTTATTTCATTTTTATTCTGAGTGGTGGACACAAAAAGTGTTGTGTTGTAGTGTCAATGTTTAGGTGAATTTCTGCTGTTTGCTGGGTTAGCCCAAGGAGTAGAAAAAGTGGCCTCTGAATTGCACACCAGAATGTTTTTGGGGGGTCAGGTTGAGTGGATTGGAGACAAAGTTTGAGAGGCTGAGATGGTTTGGACATGTGCATGGAGAGGAGGGGTAGTAGAAAGGTTGAGCTGCCAGGCAGGAGGAAGAGAAGGTGGACATGCAGAGGGCCGGTGTGTGAGGAGAAGATGCTTGGGGTAGGGTGCGGGGGAGGCAGATGATCCACTGAACAAGAAGAAACAGATTAAGTTAAATATTGTATAAAATCTATTTATGTGTAGATGAGTCACCGCGGGGAGCGTCCCTTCTCCTGTCCTCACTGTGAGAAGACGTACGGCCTGAAGCGGGACCTGAAGGAGCACATGGTCCTGCACACGGGGGAGAAACCCTATACCTGTGACCACTGTGGGAAGGCATTCGCACGCCGCCCATCCCTACGCATCCACCGCCTCCTTCACTGCAGCAGAATGAGCTACACACAGCCTCCTAAGGTAGGGAAGAGTTCCACTCTGTGAGGTGTTTGTTCTCTCACATGCGCCGACATTTTCAAGTAATTTTAATAAGGAGGACAGTGCATACGATTGATTCATTTCCTCCTGTGTGCAGTGAACAAAGCTGTTTCTCAGTGTTGTTTGTGTCTCAGCACCACAGTTTGAAATCACTCACGTAGCATCTTTAAATTTACATGCCAGTCTTGTTTTCCTTTTTTTTTCTCCTTGAACAGCAGTTTGAAGTGAAAATGTTTAATAAGAAGGAAAGAAGACGTGCTGCTTTTGTATTTCTCCTCTCCCAGGTGCAGTGCACAGTCTGCCGCAAGCTTCTGGCTAACTCGGGCTCTCTGAGGAACCACATGAAACTCCACACGGGGGAAAAACCTCACATCTGTCAGCACTGTGGGAAGTGCTTCAGTCAGAAAGGTAACGTCCGAGGCGTGGGTGTGATCCTTCAGCTGCAACAAGCTGATCACTGGTCAGATGTGCTCGGCTGGAAATGGCCAACCTTTTACAGAACACCAGGTCTGGTTTTAATATAAGAAAATGTAATAAAATTGTCAGACAAACCTGCTTCATAAGTCACTTCTTCATAATTAAAGAAAATATGTGATAAGCAGAAAAGAGACAGAAAAAATGCAAACAGCTGTTTTAGCCATAAGTCTGCATATTTTAGTTGAAACTCTGTGACTGTCAAAGTCATTTCAGCTTTCAGACCAGCAGTGAGATTCTCCGTCACGCTGCCTGTTGGCAGTCAGAAGGTTTTTGTTTTATGATCATTAGTAACTGCATGATCTAAACTCACACTGCTTCTCTTTAATAACCGGCCTGCTAATATTTTATTATCAGGTGTAATCAGTTCGTCCGACTTTAATGAGGGTGCTCTTTATTTCAGATTGCATGGTTGTCTCTATGATTCAATTCAATTCAATTTCATTTATATAGCGCCAAATCACAACAAGAGTGGCCTCGAGGCTGCAGCAAACTCTAAAGCAACATTTTGACACAATTAACAAATACTAAACTGGTAAATGAAGCCTGTAGGAATGCCTGAATCTAGATGTAGACAGATAGTGCTGTTGGTGCACTTAATTGTGTGTTTATTACATTTAACAAAATAAACCTATAGGCTACATGTGCAGATGCTTCCAGCACAGCTGTTTCTGTCCTGTGTGCAGTTTGCACTTTACCAACGCATCCTTTTGTGCAATAAAAAAAAAAAAAAGGTCAATAACCCCGCTGCTGTAGGGGGCGCCACACAAACTAACAATCAGCTGATTAGTGTACTTGAGCACGATTATAAAATATACTGGCTTCCTGTTTCACAG